AAGGGACCCAAAGATAGGCCATCGACACAAAATTGTCTCACATCATTGAACTGTATATCAATTTAGTGCTTAACAAAATGAATTCATATCTGAGGAAAAATGTGGTATATAAGTATTGAAAAATACAACGAGATATGATCACTGGAATCATTGCTTTGTGTGTTTTAGTGATTTTTATTTTGAGATAGTTGACATGTTGACATTTATAGCTTGATGTTCTTTGTAGGGCATTAATCAGGAAAATGAAATTCGATAAATAGGAGATTTTTCTATTGTATGTAGGGGATGTATGTCAATATTTTTGTGTACTTTTGCCTATCAGTGTTCTATAGGTGAGAGAATACATACATGAGGCCCAATATAGTCGATAAAATAGAGCTAAACTCTCAGAATCATACACAATGAAGCAGTGTTTGTCAGACCTTAATGTATAATTTCTCGATATAAAGTAAATAAAACTCCCATTTCAAAGCTGCATTGAACCCCGTTTCCTAAAAACCAAGAAGTTAACTATTTTTGTATAACACTTTTTCAAGAGGGCTGAATATTCTTGAGTTGTTTATCAAAACTTTGTCAATATTCTAATTCTTGAATTGGGTGTCGTTTTGATGAAAATATTTGAATGTGTAAAGGGTGCCATGTATACTTAATCCAGTGCTAACATAATATAGCCATGTTGAAACTGAAGTAATCACTAAGCATATTTGTTTTCCGCTTGCGTATATTTATCGCTTTTCAAACATTTTTAATGCGCCACTATTTTCACAAGCCACCCCCAAATATTGACAGGTCAATTCAAAGGTAACTTGAATATTCCATTGAATCAAATCATTCTTAAGTGTTTGTATTTAAATATTTGATATTCTGATCACCACTTTATTTCTTGCGAAGTATCCTGAAAAATCTATAAACCAGATCAGAGTTATCCGCTAATGTACTAACAAATTCTTGGTGACGCATCACATTGTTGTGTACTTAAATTTCTGCGTACAATTTGTACCATGCTACCATTTATTGAAATGTTTCCCACCACTACACCTGTTTCTGTTTCACCAGTGACATCTATATTCAGCTATATGATGTTGTTTGTTTGAACTTGTACCTGTCCAAATATTGGCTAAGCACATATTGGCCTTAGAGCTCCAGATCCAGATAAATGTGTAATTACAATGGTGACCAGCAAGTCGATTGTTTACATATTGCATTTGCTCACTGAGCTTGCAAACAGATGGATTATGGGTATTATCAGTGCCTGCAGTACATTTGTACGTCCTGAATGTATCTTGAGTAAATATTGTCTCAGGACCAACATAATTTGAATTTTCTATTAGAAATATGAAAATTCTTGAGGTTGGGTAAATGTTGCTGTTTGCAGTCAGCTTACTTTCAGGGGGTTTCGAAACATGAGATTTGTTTTATCAACTATTTTATCCTAAATGCTTTTAACGGCGAACACTTGTGAAAAATTGAGCAGATGGGCACTCGTCAGGCGCAGAGCGTTAACGGATAACTCCAGAAACTTCAAGTAGACCTAGAAAGTATCTTTAAGAACATCCATCGTGGTTGCCATGACGATCCAACTTGAGTCTCCTCTAAGTTTTCGCCAGGCTTAGATATTGGGAATGTTTTCAACAAGCCAGTGGCCTAGAGTGTTTCACCACTTGAGGTGCAGTCTATATACTCAACAAATACCTACCAAATTGATTTCTAGTCAAGATGCTTCTCTGATTATCTTCTCAGAAGGCTGTTATAGTCTAAAGCTGTAATAGGCTTACAAGGGCCAATTTACTATTTCAACAGTATAGTTAATGCTTACCAAGTTTTCTTATTGGGATTCCATCAAAACCGAGTTGCCATATCACGTGAATATGAAATCCATCATGGCTGCCATGGAATGATTGACTGGATTGTGCATGTAGTAATTATTGGTTTGGCTGAACTACAGTATATGTAGCCTAATTAGCACCCAAGGCACTTCCAGTAGATTTAGCCCCATTTGTCAATATCTGTGTTTGCCAATGTTCTGAGGTTTTTATTTGAACTTTGTCAATAACATGACTTAATATACTGATCTGATCTACAGTGACAAATTTATTGTAAGTCATCCCTGATTAATATGTTCTTCGAAACCTATTTTTGAATCATATGACGTGTACAATTACAAATTTTTCTATTGCGTACATCAGTGACTTTATGCTGTGTTCTATTTGTAAAGAAAGTCCTGATAGTGGCATTGGTATATTACAGAGTAATATGTCAATAACATCATTTATTTGTTACAACCAATAATGACAAAGGACAGTGTAATTATACACTCCTGTGTTCTTGGGTTCATTCTAAGAACCGTTTAGACCTATCATCAATGCCATGACATTTTTGTTGTGTTGCTTATTGATTGGCTATAATGTGTCACATGATTTGGTGATGGAGTATGGGATGGTGTTACCCTTTATTTCATTATTTCCCTACAAAGCATTATGGGCTTGTTTTGTTTTTCTAACAAACATAATTATGCCCGGTCAGAGATACATATCGGCAATTTGTTCTGGCAAATGGCTTTTCACATCTTTTATCTCACTGGTGCAATCCACGGAATATTCTGGTCAATTGGTCATTGATTGTCTAAGACAAGAGTCGTTGTCGACGGCAAGACTCCGTCATCACCTTGAGGGCAGTGTACTCATCAGAACCTTTTCTTCTTCTAGGGTAGGATACAGTGTCTTTTTCTATGGCATTTCCCCTCTCTTGTAAAAATGCTAATGCTAATACTTTCAATATAAACCCCGGTACTTTTTCACCATGTCTTTCTGTTCTTAATTTTTGCTTTCATGTGGACATTTTGAATGGTTGACTCATTAGAATGTTTTAAAAGCATAACCTACAATGAATGTAATTGTAAGAGTATTCCTATGATTGCATTACGTCCTACAGTTCTATAGAAGTGTGTTACCGACTCAAGTAGGCTACATTCAATATCTTGCTTGTATCACGAAAAAAAATCCAGTGCCATTTTTACAATCTCTTCAGCGTGAAGAGGGTGCTTTAGTTGAAGTGGCAGCTCTAGTTGTAATTGCAGTGTGTTCTATCATCAACATCCTCCATTACTCTTGCAGACGGACATAGTATAAGCAGACGGATTTACTTTTTACATGTCTTTACATGCTTTTTCAAACAGGAAATTTGAATGAAAAAAATGGAAAAGAAATGCCTGTACACATTTTGTGCTTTGGTTTTGTATTTTGTATGGTGTATATGTCTTAATTTGGATGGAGGAGTGGAGGGTTCATAATCACAGTAGACTAAAACAATGTCTATTTTTCCTTTAGGTTTTTGTCATTGAGTGGCTTGTACATGAATCTTTTATCATTAAAATGTTATTGCCAGTGATAAAGTAGGCTGGTGAATAATTTATTGCAATGTAGAAAGAATAAATTGTTTTTCATATATGATATCATCATTATTTGAAATGTTAAGGTTAACATATAGGTGGCATACCAGTACAGTATGGCGTTAGCGTGGCAAGTATGAATCGACGCTACTTCATATAATTTGATAACATAGTGTTATTAGTATATACATTTCTGATTATAGGCCTATCTTTGCTAGGTCAATATTACTTTAGATAAGTTTACAGGCTCTGTTGTGTCAACACACTGTATAAAGGTCACTGTATTGACATCATCTTGAGCAAAGGTCATATAATGTAAAATTGACTTGAGACATGTTTTAAGTATACCTGTGTACATGTGTTCGGATTGTTTTGTGGTTTTATACAATTTCCCCTTTGACATTAATATTATGTATTTTAGAGGCTGTCACTTGAGTTATAGGGTTGTGTCTTTCATATTCTTTTCATACATTTGATTTTTGCATACTCTTACATGAGACCCTGTATTTATATATCTCATGGTCAATTCAATCATTCAATCTAATCACATGAGAGGGAATGGATGTGTGATTCAAGACTAATACAAGGAAGAGATATTTTATTCTCCAGACATTTGAGATTGTATACCAGCTTGAAAAGCAATGATTAGACTCTTCAGATTATCTTTGTTTTCACCTAATGTTGAAGTCATTTGAATAAGAAAAAAGGATGGTTCATAAGGTCAATTATCATTTGTAGAAAAGTAGATTTTGTTAAGGTCTATACAATCCGATATCGATGTGTAGCTGTGCCCTGTTTAAGCTGTTGATCTGTATGTCTACAATATGATATGACGATGATCAAAATCGATTGGATTAGGATAAAAGAAATAGGGAAGAGATGGAATCTTTCAGATTTCCAATTGGCACACCCCTATATACCTGAATAATTCTTTTGCTTCTATGTCAGAACAATTCTTATCCATGGGTTGATATAAAGGTATGCCCAATTATCTGATTTAGCTCTTACTACAGATAGCTGAACTACTTTTAAAGTCCTTTAGAAGACATTATAAGTAACACTTAACCAGAATACATGAACTTAAGTGATATTGAGGCATAAAACATATTTTTATAGATCATATAGATAGTGTCCTGACACTTGAAAACTACTTTTTAACATGACTTGTAGTTCTCACACAACTTTGATACTTCAAACATGTTCTAAATTCACACACATTAACAACATTGCCACAATTATACAACATTCTCACACAATGATATTTTTTCAATAATGGGATTTGTTAATTTGTAGTCCAGTGTCATCGATCAGTCTAAGTTTGTATCTTGCCAAATTCTCCCTTTTAGATTCACATGTAGGATCAACAGCCAATTGCTTTATTATTTGGCACCCCTATTCATCAAGTTTTCAGTAAGCCATAATCTAAATTCTGATATCACTGTGTTTATTCATTCTTATTTATATTTGAATAGTGACAATAAATTACGCTTACATATGTTTGAAAAAGGTTTATCAAAATTAATTGGACTACAGTCTAAACACTAATTCCAAGCTGGAGAACTAATATTTTTTTATGTCATGTTTAAATAACAGCATGTTTTTCTTGTTTCAGAGAAGTTCAGCGTCCCCCAATGATCGTGATAAATATCGACCACGCAGTCGTACACCTACAGAAATAAATGACAATGCAGCTAAAAAGAGAAGGCAAGACAAATCAGGGGTAGGTGTTTACATTAAAAACTCCCAAGTCACATATAATCTATTTGTGATTCTTTGATGTTATACAATGCAAAGGGCATACTTATTACCATACCATGTTCACTGTTATATCCAACATACTAACAACCCAAAGGACTGGTTCTTTTAAAATATTGTGAACTGTTGTTTGTGTAATTCAATTATCTTTCACATTTTTAGTTCTATCTTACAATATCTTTTAAAGAAAAGGTCCAAGTTAGATAGTGTCAAGACTTATTGATTTGCATGACAACATTGTCACCAATGGATGTCACCAGAAGTCATATATACTTTCACATATTTCATGATTGGTTTCCTTTGGCTATTTGAAATAATTCTTATTTCATCTTTCAGGATAGTGACAATGAAAAACTCAGTGATCACGAAGATTTAGTCGTGGATGATGATGGGGTAAGGATGTCATGTATAGTTTATTTTGTGATTTCTCTGGTATTTAAGGAGGTACTACACAAGCCAAGTTTTCTTTGAAGTAAAATCATGGTGGACACACTATCAATTGAAAAATGATTTAAATTTCAAATTCTTCAAACTCCTGCATTCAAGCAAGAAATACCATAACCATTTTTCAATTTTTTCACTGAGCCATCTTAGTATGAGCTCACTTCTGAGCACTTTTCCAGGCATGTTTGCAGGACTACATACATCATGAATATTCCATTGAACTGTAAGTTTGTATTAAAGCAAACTATTCCATTGAACTGCAAATCAGAAGTTTCTTCGTTGGAAATTACCAAAAACGAATGCAAATTTTTACAATGGAATCAGCTAATGATAAATGAGAAAGTTTGTGATAAAGTTTGTGTCCACCATGATCCAGATCTTCTGGGGGTTTATATTCTCTAATAAAGCACAGTGTGAAATAGCCAACAGATTGCTTGACTTGACAGCTGTAACTGTGTCAATAAAACTTGTGCATTCTTTTGTAATAAGGCAAAGGGGATTAGCTTTTAATTGTTTGATATGATAAGAGTGCTATACGGAATTGAAGATATGAGTTGGTTGAAGGAGATTTTGTGGTGCATGCACTTTTGTGTTGCTATGGTAACTCACAACAGGGTGCTACAATAACTATGGTAACTATGTGTGATGACATATGTATAACAACTGATACCAAAGGCTATGCAACCTTATCATTGAATATCAAGTTCAAATCACATAATTCTCTATTGATATCAATATTACCTGCAAAATTGCATATTGTTGAAAGAAACAACATCCTTGATTCCCAGTCCACTGTAGATATAAACACAACTGGTTTGGGTTGGTATGCATAGCTTTTGGTAGTGTGGTGTGCCCTATATGCAGAGTTGCCACGTTGACTTTCAGGCCCCTAACTCTCCTGTCAACGGGCAGCGGTCCCCTCAAGAAAATGGCCCTGATAAATCATCATCACACAGCAAGAAAGAGAGCCCTACAAGTCCACGCAGTGAAGCATCATCCCACTCTAGTAGCACCCCATCAAAACACAAGGAGGTAAGACTGGTAAGAGGTCATGTGGAAGGTCAGGCTGACTTGTCAGTGATCAAAAGCCAAAGGTCAGAGTGACCCGGCCAAAGGTCAGAGTGACCCGGCCCAAGGTCAGAGTGATCACCTAGCCTAATGTCAAGATGACCACTGGGTTCAGGTCAATTTGACCATGAAGATGATGTTGACATGACTTCAAGGGCTAATTTGACCTTGAGAAAAAAGGGTGCCTATATTGCCGGCAGTTCATAGATAAGGTTATCTTTGGTAAAGCTTCATAATGTGGTGGAGGACTAACCTGTGCTTGTCAATACGAAACATTTTTTTTGCTTGTTAAATAAAGAACATAAATATAAAAAACAAATAGACTGTTTCCGTTGTTGAATTGAGATATTTCAAATATATTTGAAAAATTGATTTATTCAGACAGGTGACATGTTTTTACATAAACTGTTTATGTTTGATTATGTCTAGTTGTGATTTATCATTTAATTTATATGTTCAGGAAACAAACATATTTTTCATGTTTCAGCAGGATAAACCCCAGACTCCAGTATCCAAGTCCATCACCCCTTCAAGTACAGATAACCCTACTCCTGGGGGGTCGGCTGCAGGCCCCAAGCCACCTTCAGTTGCCAAACCTCCTCCCTTAGGTAAGTTTCAAAGGGGGTGAGAAATAGATATAGTTTCTTAAAACATAATTACAAATTTACATCTGTACATTTATTTCTATGATTAATTGTTTTAAAGACATGTATTCACATTCGCAAAAGTGTAACTGAAAAAATGATAAAATCTATACCCCTATTTAATAAAGTTTTCTGAGAGTTTGTTCATTTCAAAATCCTTTCTTTCTTGAACTAAATATCTGATTTTTACACAGAATCTCATACAGAATTGCTAATGATAAAAAACTGTATGAATTAAGATATGTGAGAATAAGCGGTGCAATATGGAACAATTTACATATATTCTTACACTAATCTTTCCATCTGTCTTCATTAATTGCATTATTCAGACCTCATGATAGTATAAAGTCTGTGTAAGTGGAACATCCCTGGTCTCACTGACTTTGACTTTGAATTCATCACAGCATATTTGTTGATTAAAATCGATGTTTGCAACAGATACTCATACATACATGTATATCACTCGTAGAAAGTATTTCCAACCTAACACCCTCATCTTCAATGAGATAGCTAACAACCAGGTGTTACATTACACTTTCAAGCTACATTTAACCATGAATTAGGTATTTTAACAACGCCATATATACAATATAGCAATATTTCTTGTTTCTCTATCTTGTAATAACATTTCATGAATGCATCTACACATGCATCCACACATTTAGACCTAACAAATTACTCTTAAGATTTAGAAAAGGCTTTAGTCTTACATTATTCACCTAGGACCTCAAAAATAGGTCATGATTCCTGAATTTTGATTGTCTTTCACAAATAAGTATGACAATACAGTACTTTGAAAAAGGTATTGAATTTCATGAATCGTGAATCACATAATTTACAAGAAACATCATCCTGGTGGCTTTCATGCTCTGTAAACCTTGTTACCATGGTTTTTTGAGTATGAGAGGGAGGTGAGATGTTTTGTTGTAAGACGTAAGCCTCTAAAAATTTCACTCTAGCAACTCCAATAGCAACTCATTCTCTCTTTCTATTCTAGTTGCCCCCGCATTAAGAACTCCTTTATCTTCTATGTCAGGATCCTATCCCTTTATGCCACACCCTGGTCACGCGCTACCCTCAGAACTCAGTCCCAATGCCTACAATGGGGGAGGACTCCACAATAACATCTCACCAGCCAGCCTGAACAACTATAATAGGGCACCAGGTGTCATAGCAGGAGCTGTTGAAAAGGTAAGCTTCACCCCTCTTTGTCTGAAATTGTTCAATCATATACGAGTGCAACTCCCGAAAATATTTTTCAAATATCATCTTTTTGTGTACATTGGGTAACCTCCTCAAATTACCAATTCAAGATGTTATTTGTTATTCAATATTCATATACTAATTTGAATGATATTGTAATTATTAATAACTTGAGAATTAAATTTGATGTTAGCTATAAACACACATTTTTGGAATTTTTTATTTTTTTTTAGTATCTGTTAGATTGTGCACCAAAGAGTACATTTTTTTATTTATTCTTTCTTCTACATATCAAGTTTTCATATTCATTTTTTAATATGTGTTTACTATTGTTATTATTCTCTGTCATGGATTTAATGGCTGTTATTTGTATTGCAGTCATTTGACCCACACCCAGCTATGAGGCAGCCTACCCTCGGCAACATTCCCGGAGGAAAACCGTAAGTAGACTTCAACATTGCGTACAACAATTACTAACATACATTTTGTAGAAGTAATATCAATGATATTATTTGTCATTTTTATGACACCTAAAAAGTGCGATATTACATAAATAATCCTCTTATTTTGCTAGTTTCTCGAGTTGTGGTGTTTGATAATGATACTTATAAGGAATATCAATTTCAGTAGGCAAAAATGTGTGAATGTTTTTTACTTAACATCTTTTCTGTTTTTGCATAAATAAACAATGTGTTAATGATTGAGGTGGGCAGGTTTCTGGGGTTGTAATTATCATATCTTTTTTTAGGATTTATATTAATGAATCCCTTTTTTAAAGAAATAGAAAATTATTTTCCTAATATTTAGCAATTCAGGTTCAATGACAATGGCAACATCATTTTGTAAATGTTTTGATTTTTTCTTGTCCAATCAAAAATGTAGCATTATTGTATCATATTGCCTTCTTTTTATACAAGCTCAAATGATATACTGTATAACTTTTGCCCAACTGACTTTAATGCTATGCAGTGAATTTAGTTGCTCATATGAAAAATGCGAAATTAAGAATCATACACATGAATGTCACTATCTCTTTATTAACATTAAAGTGTAAAACATGAAGATGGGACTTTGATGTTAATTGTTTAGTTCACCATGAAAACACATTGCTAAATGAAGCAAAGAAAAATCGTTGTACGACCAATTAACTTAAACTTTAAACTAAGGTTACTAGGTGCTTGTGTTGGTTATATCCTTTTGCTTGGGACACTGCTTTGATGCATTTTCTGATATGTCCTTGTTATGTGTTGCAAATATGAAGTCATCTATATGATGCAGGGATTCATGCCAGTCACTCATTCTATCACACAAGGGAAAACACGCGTAAATATCACTGGAAAGGGTTTCATTAGAATATCTATCAAAAGCCACACATGGATTAAATCAAGAGACAAAATTATTGGAAGTTATAATTTTAACATAAAGACAGTTGTAAAGATTCAAAATAAACAGGATTCCTCAAAACATTAGGAGATTTTTGTAAAAACAATGAAAGATAATATATTGGGTACAGCTTTCAGCCAAGTGGCCTTCATGTTTGACATGTTTTACTATAGTTGCCAACATGTACCAGGTTGAGAGGATATTTTCTAAAAGGTTTTAACTTTCTTGCCTTTCCATTTCAGAGCATACTCATTTCATGTGAGTGCCGATGGCCAGATGCAGCCAGTGCCATTTCCTCCTGATGCTTTGATTGGTCCAGGAATACCCCGTCATGCTAGACAGATCAACACGTTAAATCATGGTGAAGTGGTGTGTGCAGTTACCATTAGCAACCCTTGTCGGCACGTCTACACAGGGGGAAAGGTATGTACCCATCATTCAAAGAATTGGTTTTCATTAACCAATTGTCGTAATTTCAGATCTGGATTGACAATTGATTGTCATGCTGATTTTGTTAAATTATGACCCATAATGTTTTTAAAATTGATCTTTGATTTGATTTTGAAAACTGTCAAATCTGTGACACTTCCAAAATAAAGACCTCAAAATGTGACAACTTTTTAACCATCCCATTGTGCCATACATAGAATTTGTAGAACAAGTTAGCACAAAATACATGTGGACACTTTTTAGCCAGTCTCGATAGTGTTAGGCCAGGTTTAAAAAGAATATAAAAGAGAAATTTTGAGATGCTGGTGACGCGTTTGCTCTTATTTTCATGTCTGATAAAACCTGTGTAACTGGAACACCATTGGTTATACTAACAAGTAACACGTTTTTCACTTATAGAGGTTCACTGTTATCAATATAATCATGGAACTCTGAAAGGTGATCTACTGACAAAAGTGTTCAACTTATAGAGGTGTTCCACTTACTGCCATCTGTACTGGCACATGTAACAAATTCTTACAACTTTCAATAACCATTTGCAGGTGGTGACATTTTGTCATGTTAAAGTCTTGTCTGTACCATGTATAATGTTAATGTTGTCTCTCCTAGGGCTGTGTGAAGGTGTGGGATATAGGCCAGCCAGGGGGCAAAAGCCCAGTCTCTCAACTAGACTGCCTGGTAAGAATATCAAAACTTTTTCAATTTTGTTTCAAATAACTAGATTTGATATCTTGTTGAGATATTTGTACTGGGCCTATTTCTACTCTTTTTTATTCCTATTATATTCCCAAAAATGAAACGTCATTTACAATTTCGCTACATTAGAATAACTACATAAATGTATTGTATGATACAATGTTTCAAATCATGAAATCTTGAATTTTTTGATTCAAAGAAAGTTCAAATATTTCTCTGTCCAATTGTTATATATTGAACATGGGGAGATTAACAATGCCTGTTAACTTCAGCAAAGAGACAACTACATCCGCTCCATCAAACCACTGCAAGATGGCCGCAGTCTCATAGTAGGAGGAGAATCTAGCGCTCTTGTTGTCTGGGATCTAGCTGCTGTAAGTCCACATATACTTTATTACCTTCAATTATAGAGAGTGCTTATTTGTTTGCTGGTTTCTTACAGCAACGGGAGAATTATATACGATCTATCCGAGTATTACCAGATGGTCGAACTTTGGTTGTCGGCGGGGAGGCAAGTTCTCTGTCTGTGTGGGACTTAGCGACCGTAAGTCACCAAACCTGCACATTTAACACGACCCCCTCTCGATGGACTCACGTCCTATTTAACGATATGTCTACTACTTAAGTTCCTCTGCTGGTGCTTTTAATTGCTTCTACACTGCCTTCTTTCACATGGATTTGGGTCACTGGGTTTCAGCTTGGATCTGCCATTGCCTTGTTGAGACTTTGATTGCCAGCATAGATTGTTTATTGGGTTGCAATAGCTAATCAAAAATACTCATAGTGGTGTAGGGACTTCATATTTATTATGTTGATTGGGGAGCAAATTGGTATTTATGGTGATGAATAAAAGGATGAATCTAATGGGGTTTGGTGTTTATGGTTTGAAAGGGTGAAGGGAATTGTTTGAAAATGAATAGGAACTTGGTGTCTATGGTGTGAAAGGGTTAAGGGAATTGTTTGAAAATGAATAGGGACACAATGTTTAATGAGAAGAACAGATATATAGAGTTCCATAGATGAACTTCTGTTCAGGGAAAAAAGTGTACCTATTAATGGACTTCTGGTAGGGAAAGCTGTAGCGGGATAGATGAAGTGTTATATGGTGTATGGTTGCAACAGAAATGACATTTTACATTGTATGTATACTAGGGTTTCTACAGCAGACAATGATAGTGCGATAGGTTATATCAAAGGGGGGGTTTCAACATGTGTGATGTTTGGTACAGCTAATAGCTTTACACTGAATGAAATGTACAACTACATTTTGCTTCTTTCAGCTAATGTTGCACTGAGGAAAAATAACAAAATCTTGCATAAAGACACTTAAATCAATAATTAATGATAGTTTTTATCTAGGCCTTTGCTAAATTCATTCATATGTGAATGAAGTAAAAGTTGTGAACTTGGAAATTGTTTCATGGGTCATTTATAGTTTTGGCTTAATACATATTAAAGAACATAGCTTCAATGTTATGCACTTTATGCACATATGACTAGATTTTGTGATACATTCTATGTGATCCTGCATCAGGCACCTGTCCCTTAATCTATTTCCTTAGCTTGTGTATAAGGTATGTGTGTATACTATAGTGGTCTTGATGCAAGACTGTTGTGATATATCTGCCAGTGAATTGATGTTTTTCGTTCTGTTGCAGCCTACCCCTAGGATTAAGGCAGAGTTAACATCCAGTGCCCCAGCCTGCTACGCTCTGGCTATCAGCCCCGATGGTAAGGTCTGCTTCTCGTGCTGTAGCGATGGTAACATAGCTGTCTGGGACTTACATAATCAAACTCTAGTTAGGTGAGTACACGCATGTCTGTCTGTCAGAATGAATGTTTCTTAATTTCTCAGTATTTAGCTTCAATGATAAATTCACTTGTTCAGGCTTTTGTCCATCAATATATTTTGTCCAAGATGATTTAAAAAGTATGCCAACATATCAAGATTTGGAACAGCTATTTCAAACACAATTGTTTTACATGATGTTGTTGATTCTTGTAGGCAATTCCAAGGTCACACAGATGGTGCTAGCTGTATAGACATCTCACCAGATGGTACCAAACTCTGGACTGGAGGTCTAGACAACACTGTGCGCTCCTGGGACCTACGGGAGGGCCGCCAACTACAGCAACATGACTTCACCTCTCAGATCTTCTCCCTAGGTTACTGCCCCACTGGCGAGTGGTTGGCTGTTGGGTAAGTTACTTGTGATTGCTGTGCATAGCTGAAAAACTCTCTGAATTATTGCATTAATATAGCTTAAAAGCAAGGGGAAATCTTGTAGCAAAACCCCAAACGCAGTGATAAATATCACACTTGAAGAGGAAAAAACCTAACATAATTGACCACACACACATCCATCAGCTTAAGAAGACAATATACGAGAACTTTAAAAGTGCTCAAAACTTCATTCCACGTTTTATGTTGTAGTATGGAGAGCAGCAATGTTGAGGTGCTGCACCATTCCAAGCCAGACAAGTACCAGCTGCACTTACATGAAAGCTGTGTTCTCTCACTCAAGTTTGCCTATTGTGGCAAGTGGTTCGTCAGCACAGGGAAAGATAACCTGCTTAATGCCTGGAGGACCCCATATGGTGCCAGTATTTTCCAGGTAAGATTTTACATTTATTTCAATGTACGGTGAAACCTTGAAAGTGGAACACCTCTACAAGTGGAGTCCCAAGACCAACTGTCTTATGTTGAATTAACCTCCATAAGTGGAACACATCCCAAGTGCAATACTGTTTCAGTTAGACAGGTTTTGCTACATATTATTAAGAAATTATACATCACTAGGTAATGACTCTTCCATTAGATTGAGAACATTTTCATCTTTATTTTGACAATATCAATTTTTACAGTTTTAGAATTCAACATGTCAACAGAGAGAAATAACTATCTGTGTGCATATTTAAATTCTCTATTTCAATGAGGCCAGGAAGTGGTGTAAATATGTCACATGATAAACTGTACTGTGTTTTCTACCTTCCAATTTTTGTGCGAAAAATTTAAAATTAAAAATGAAATTTATTTTTTCAGTCTAAGGAATCATCATCAGTTCTCAGTTGCGACATCTCTACAGATGATAAATACATCGTCACAGGATCAGGTGACAAAAAAGCGACACTGTACGAGGTCATATTCTAGTTCTCCAGAGTGAGACATTGCTTAAACAGAGCTATATTGATGGCTCCGGAAGCACATGTGCCAGTATTAGACGCTTGGGATATTCCCAAGGTACTTTTAGATCACATAGAATTCAGGTGGATACTTGCATGGATTTACTCAAGAAATCATGACATCAGAATGAGTGTACACGATACCTGGTTACATCACTGAAATGTGTGCACTTAAATATGTGACATCATCAGTACGGATCTATTGTAGGTGTGAACTTACCAAATATTGGTAGTTAGCCACCAAGAGAGCTTAATTCTCCAAGACATTGCAGGGGTAGACTTGTCTATCAAATGGTGAAACAAGGGATAGACAACGTTTTGTCTCATCATCACCCAGTATATTCCACACAAGAATTGCTCGGGAAAGTGTACATAAGAAAGTGTAAATATGAAAATAGCTAGCAAACATAGATTAGACTGGAAAATGTGTACAAATATTCGATATTAAAATGCCAAGTCAAATCTGTTATAATGGTGTACCCATTTTATGATTTGCCAATTTGAACTCGGTGTAGACATAATACTAATGACAAAGCCTGAATGTTGTGTCCTAAACTCAGAATTGAATATATATAGAAATTGAGCAGAACTCTAAATGACATTTCACCTGTCATGTGTATGCATGTTGTCAGTGTCCTTATTATAGTTGGAAACTCAAACTGTGGTTATTGCGCAAAACTAAAGTTTGAATTTCCATATAATTTCATATCTGTGTGACATGATAAAACATCTTGAGCGATATCAAGTGGATTAGGGTGTTTCCTCATGTACACACATTGTAAAATTGTAACTGACATTAAAATTGAAATGTTTACTACAAATATGAAGTGAATAATACTTATATGGTTGCTCTTAAAGAAGGCTTCATGATTTTCATTAGAAATTGTTTCCTGTTATATATCTCGCGATTTGTTTTCTTAAAATTTACTGAAAATCATGAAGTCTCCAATAGGAGTCTATGCATATTATAAATAATATATATATATAAATATATGTATATGAATATAGATATACAAGCAACATACAAGTTATTTCTAGAATATGAAGGTCTATATGCGAGATGTGTTGTTATCTCCATAGTAACCTGTCCCAGGAGTGTCATGGTGACAATGCTTTTACTAAGAGTCCTACATATGACCTGCTTACCTATAACTAAGACTTCCATTGCATAAGGAATAAGAATATGTTGCAGCAAAAAAGTGAAAAGTTGTTCTGTATCAAAATCAGGGGTTTCAGTTACATTTGAAACATCACCATTACATTTCAAATAAACTTAACCCCCCAGACAGGGAAATGAATTTTTGGTTGCAGGCTATTATTGAGCATTTTGAAGAAAAGCACTTTCACCATGTTCATCTTGTCAGGGAAGTAACCTTTAATGCATATTACCACCCATATTATAATACCCTGCCCATCTATGTAGTGGAACACAATTTTCCATGTCATATGGATGAGTGGTTTCACTCTTTAGCAGAGTGTTATTCTATGGGTGGAGTGTATCTAAGATAATATTAATGTGTTTAAGTCCATTGAAAGGTGCTGTGTGTATTAGAATTACCAGAACCTGTATGTGTATGTCATACAAAAGCCCATAGTTTTCTCATTATGAATACTGAATTTCAGATATTTTTGGGTGTAAAGATCAAAATAAATGCCATTTTATAATCCTATTTTCAATATAGAATGCTAGTATAGATGGCGTTGAAGGTAAGGTTGTACATGAAGATGCTAACATTTCAAATTGATTCTATCAATGTGTTCTGCTAGCAGGATGCTTCATAAAGATTTCAGACATATAAGACATTTATTTTATGGATCGGTTATGTATGAGAAGTCAACTAACGCAGATTTACTGGCCAAGGGCTGGCACATAATATGTCTCACCCTGTGTGCTTGTAAGAACCATTGCCTACTAATGGCTGTAAAATGTATAATGAATAGAATTTAGTTATGACTTTATAAAGAATTAAATAAAGAACAGATTAGTTATTTACATAATTGATTAAGATGGTGTTTAACACTAAATGAAATATTTCTCTATGTATATCTCGAGTGATATGCTCAAATATAAGCATTTTGATATTGTTATTTTCTTTTTGCATCCCTTACAAAAAATGTCTTATATTTTTATTTCACATATGATTTAATGTTCTCATTAAATTCTCAATATTTTCTGTAGTCAATGTGTTTTTGAGGTGAGATGGCAAGAAAGCATGGCAATTGCAGGAAAAATATAATTGAGAAAAAGATGATCTTATTGTATGGCTATATATTAATACACTGTACATGTAGATCTAAAAGTTATTATACATTGTACATATTGATCTAAAGATTATAACATGTTGTACATGTAAATCTGAAGATTATAACATGTTGTACATGTAGATTATAAGATCATTTCACATTGTACATGTAGATCTAAAGATCATTACACAATGGAAATGTGGATTAAGATTCTTACACATTGTACATGTAAATCTAAATATTATTGTACGTGTACATCTTGAGATTACTTCACATAGTACATTTAACATAGAAGATTATTGTACATTGTGTATGTAGAACTAAAGATCATTACACATTGTCCATGTAAATCTAAAGATTAAGACACATTGTACATGTAGATCTAAAGATTATTACACATTGTACATGTAAATCTAAAGATGAAGACACAATGTAGATGTAGGTCTTAAGATTATTACTTATTGTACATGTAAATCTAAAGATTATTACACATTGTACACATAGATCTAAAGAATAACATGAGATTGAAATATTGATGTGTTTCCCAGAGAATAAAGTAACACAATGTTTTGTACTTAAAATCAATCTTGTGTTGATTTCCCTCTTCACAGTACGTCACATAATGGTGTTTACTGGTGCCCTTGCATGAAAGAATAGATGTTCAATCAGGCTATATTTAGGCCAATACTAGCATGAAAATGGCCAAAATCATTGACCAAAATGTTACAATATTTTATTTAAAGAGGGCAGCGTTTTCAGTTGATTTTTTCCATTGGTTTATACAAAATCATTAATATGAGTAACTTACATGATCTCACCAATGATGTATTAAATCAAGAGCCTCTGCCAAACCCATATCACATCTAAAAAACAACCTTTTCAATTTGATGATTTTCTTCCTGGAGATGTTATTATCTGTTTTCTGGGGATTGGAAAATTGATTATTACAGACAGTTATGTTGGGACAGTTTATCTAGTATTGAAGATCAATGGTAAAGATGTACATACTACATTAAGAATTGACCTCCCTGGTGAACATCTTATAGCATGGGTTTCCTGGCTGCTTTCAGAGAAAATTGAGACTGGCTCCATAGCCTTCCTTTATGGAAAATTTGATATTATAAGTTATTGAATGATTTGAAGTGCAATACAGGATATATTCTGCTCGAGAATTCCGTATTGGAACGAGACGAAGTCGAGTGCCAATACAGAATATCGAGACAGAATATATCCTGTATTGCACTTCAAATCATTCAATAACGTTTTTATCGTGTGATCCTCTGTATTGCTACTGAGATTGTCCCCTCCGTACCAATATTTTCTGTATTGCGACGGAGATCATCAACGGAGACAATCTCAGTAGCAATACAGGTTGGTACAGCACAAGAACTGACCAATCAGAGGGCTTCATTTTACAGATCATACGATAAAACCTAATATGGGACTTTCTGATTACAGAATTCTACTTTCGGGGAACATCTGGTATTTTGATGAACTTTATTGTAAGGAGATAATTATTCTGATATTAAATACTGTTAGCATAGAATTATCGCTAAGTATCAAACCCAACATTTAATCATTAATTATATTCATTGTATAATTCACATTTTGATACATATTCATTCAAGTTGTTTTGTTCTTCATCTTGTTCTTGTGTTATCAGATTTCAATGCCAATGTTAATTTGTTATTGTCTGCAATGCTAAGTGCACATGTACTAACGGCGCAGATATTTCATTCAACTACAGTGTTACAGTTGTGTCGGGGCAACAACAGAATGAGACGTTTCCTTACTGTTACGTTGCATAAAGGATCCGATCGTATCCGTAGAACAGTAGTCTTGGTAAATCTTTGTTCCCCTCTCAGGCCCCTCTCCCACATGAAAGAAGTAGTGATGTGTGGTAACGGGTCCAAATGCTTATGCAAGGCTAAGTAGATCAATAGTATTTTCTGGAAAGGAAACTTTTGGAACATTTCCATGTTATTGAATTAAGATCATTGACCTATTTTAGTATTCAAGGTTATTAGCAAGTTTCGTAAGCTTCCTGGTTACTTCCTGGTAAAAACAACACGACGGGGAATAGAGTTCATCACGATTCGATATTCCATGAAGCATGCCCGTGACAGCGGATTCCTATTATATTGTGATCTCTCCCATGGCCCTCTCTCAGCTGTAAATATGCGAGGGAGGAGCTTTTCTTTAGTAAAAGCAAAATAGTTACATCAGTGGTACACTCTCCTCCAAAAGTTTTGCAACTCTGACTCCCAAATGTAAACGCTTTGAAACGCTTTTCACGCTTCATTTTTTATTTTCCTTAATCATTTGTAGGTCGTAAATCTTATAAAAATAATGAATTTCCTCAGGCGTCAAACATGTACAACCTAAATTTTGGAGGGGAGATGATGTTATTATGCAGCACCGGAGAATGGTAATGAAGGTTGCTTTTATTACAATGTCACACTGACTTGCTCTTATATATGCTCAGGGATATAATTATCTGTTTGTACGTGTGCCTGTTTTCCTTACATATTATGATATTATGAAAGTTTTACAAGGAAAACACGCGCAATATTTTCATTGAAAGGATTTTCCATTTGGAATGCTTCTATCTCTACAGATAGGCTACTGTAAATCTAGCAAATTACGCATGGTTGTATTTCTCAATATTGTCAATTTTCTTAGTTTCGCGCTTTTTATACCAAGTACAACAATTTCCCAGAAGCAATTATTTTCGACCCTTTTTGGGAGAAATAGCTATCATATATACAATCATATGGGTTTATTGATTTATGCGATGACTCTTCCTTACCTGAATTATACCTACATGTACATTGTTATCTCAGGGGACAACAAATCGTACCTTGCGCACAGAGTCTAATTATAAGACGAAGCTCTCTTTTGAGAAGCGAAGTCGAAGGACTGCAAAGGGTAAACAAATTCTAAAGTCCGCAATATGTGTTTACATTATTTCGATTTTCTGCACTTTCATCAGACCTTTGACGTTGACTTTAAGATCGAAAGTCAAAGGTCGTTTGATTTTGAAGTCCAACGTAAAGAATTAAGCAGATAAAGGATAATTAATTGTTTCAAAAATATTTTTCTTAGTTATTGCATGATGATAGCATTTGAAGGAAGGACTCTTGAAGGGTGTGCAATGTCAAAAACAAGGTCGATCTGTTTACAACCTCTTGATTATTTTGAAACTTATCATTGAACAAATGAAAAATATATTACAATCTTGTAGGTCAGTGTGAATGACATACTATCAATCGTAAGAACTTGACAAACAGATTATAGTATTAATAGTATAAAAGACAAATAGGGGGAGGGTCATACCAACGCATTAATGAATTCTATTGGGTGGAATTTCACACCCTCGTGACACACCTCCACACATGTGACAAAGACCGTTTGTATATGTGACAAAGACCGTTTGTTTATGTGACAAAGGCCATTTGTATAGTTCGTTATCGCGCCTTTATACCTCTTTCACTTTTGCTATGGCGATCGTACGGCCGATATTACTACGGCAAATAGTAAACGCACGGCCGCCGTAGATTTTTTACGGCCAGATACTATTTAGCAGTCACATGTTCTGCATGCGGCGACCATAATATCTAATTTCCACGACCAGATAGCAGTCACATATGCTACGGCAGCCGCACGGCGTATTTTGAAGTTGTGGTGGCAAAACCCAGTGGTAGCCGTATGCCCTTTGAAATGATGACGCATGGTCACTCTAGGGCGTCTCTACGACGCTAATAGTTTTTTAAACTGACTGACTAGCCTACCAAGACAGACTCAAGGGGACGCGGGGCGACCGTGCGACGTCGACCTCGTGACACTGTGCGGCCAGACGTCTGACACTGCATGGCCAGGCCAAGGCTTGTCTTTCTTCGGTGATCGTGTTATTATTTCCATGGCGACAATTCGGCTTGTAAAAGATACGCCGTACACACGGGGAATGATGGTCATCACGTGACCTTCGTTTTTGAAGAAGCGGGAACTAGATCTTGATAACGGAATTCGCAGCCAAAAACCGTTTATTTTATTTTCTGACTGAGGCATCAACCACATTCACTCTAAAATTTCTAGTTCTGCAATCTCCAGTGCCATGCCGTAGCATAAGACTGACCGCGCCATCGTGGTCCCGCGAGAACACCCCGAGGCGACCGCCGACCGTGGGTTATTCAAAGGCCGCACGCCACCGTAAGTTTTCCATCTCCACAAAATCATTAATCTTATCATCAAAATTGGCCGTAGAATGATGACGGTCAATAAAACATAAATAAGCGTTCAATACGATAAATATGACAAATGGAATATTTGAAGAACCGACATTTAGACAATGAACTAACAACAGCAATATCAAACAGTGTTGAAAAGAAATCATGATTTACAGTGGTGAGAATATTGGATCGATGAGTATGGCGCAGTTTAGTTAACCGACGACGAGATTTCTAGAACTACATATCACTAGAGGCATTGGAAATCTACCAACATAGCTTATATACAGGTGGGCAATCGTAGTTCTCTTGCTTTGTGCGGCTGATAATCTTCTGACAGTGCTGATTGGATGTAGAAGTGACAGGCTTCCTGTACGTGGGATCAAAATAATATGCCTCAGTTTATATGGCATGAACAGAAGTGACATTTCACATTTGTAGTTCAGGTGACATGTGTATATGAGGTGACATCCATAGCGGGGTAATTATCAATGCTTCGAAGAGATACCATAGCATGACGGGATCAGACACAATATATGTTACCTATGTGCGTCGATGACATGAGATAATAAATTGGTTCGACAATACGTTGAATTGATGTTTTTTTAATTAATATTCGACGCTCAGTGTTATCAAATAGATATGATATTATCCTAGGTAGAATTAAGTCATCAAGAGAGGTCAAGAGGGGTCTTAAACTTATATAAAAACACAATCACTCTCGATACAATTATTTCCCAGTTGGCAAAGTATCAACCATGGACGAGGAAAACTTCAACGAATCGTTTAGCACAACAGTTGATGGAAACATCACAACAGAAAGATTGACATTAAAAACCATATTCAACTTCAACACGTGGGAGGACTTTCGTATCCTACAACCTATCTGGGACTTACGAATTGGATATGAGTATTATCTATGCTCGCCATTATTCCCTATAGTATTATCGGTGTCGTTTTATTTCCTTTGTGTCTTTCCACCGACTTTGGTAGACCTGTTTGGCAGAGAATGGGCATGGTACCAGAAGTATAAGATACAGAACAACAAAGAGGTGACATGGAAGCACGTGAGACAGGCGATGATGATCACCATCTGGAATCAGATCGTCTACGTGCTACCAGCAGCTATGGCTCAGTGGATATGGGTACCCCCGAACCCCCTGCCTGAGCGGGCACCAACATTGTTCGAATACTCTTGGCATGTAAGAATGTATAACATAAAGCATAAGTTAGTTTATATTCGCGAATGAAACTTTCGGCTGTCGGCCGACGGATTAACCTACTATTTCATGACCAACTCATTTAAATGTGAATGCAATGATGGTAGGTACTATTAATATTTAAATGAGTTGCGCATAAAATAGTAGGTTAATCAGGTGGCCGACAGCCGAAAGTCGGATTCGCGAATACGAGCTTAATTTCCCATTAGATCTAATGAATGTATGTAAAAATCTCAAAAATAGATCCAAATTGGCTCAAAATTCTCTGACTCTTGACATACCCTTATATCCACAATTCTTCTTTCTATCAATAGATTTTATTGCATTAATTGATGACTAATTAGTATTACAAGTCATACATGATGGTCCTAATCGCCAGTGACATTATAGGTAGTCCTCAATGTAGTTCAATGTGATCTGGTACAGAGACACTTGTTTTGCTAAATGGTGTTAACGATGAATTTGGCGTCCTAAAAAGAGTGCTTTCTTTAACTCAACCATTGATTCAACACTGTTTAGACCTAGCACTCCCAATGTTATGTCGGTTCTTGGATTGGTCTTGCAACGTTTTTGAAATGAACGTTTCTGAGGCCCCTTTAAAGCTGGAGGTTGTTTGTGTCATATTGTACCACAGCTCGGCACCATGTACAAGATCGATTATCATTGCCGATGGCAGTAGATATATTAAACATCATGATCATTTTGCATAGTTTTCTAAATAGTGAATTGTTTTGTCGCACATTAGACATGATAATCTACTAGATAAGTATGTAGCTAGAGTGAAACGAAGTGTCTCATTTTTATTGCACACCCTGTGACCAATATACTTTTTGACATCAACAATTCTGTGTCGAACTAGGGCTTGATAAAAATGTCCCAAGGATATGATAGAGGAAGTCCGCCCCAACAAAGTTTATAAATAGTTCATCAGAAAGATTGCATCAGCCACGTTTTGTCTACACTGCAAATAAAACTCCATTAGTCGTGGGTATTAAATGTGGCAATAAACATTTTCTATTGACAAACTCAAACCACGGTCGATAAAGCACAATCATAAAACTAATATTTTGGAATAAATAAATATATAAAACAATTCCATTTTTTACCACATGTTTTGAAAGAAGACCAAGGTTATTCCTTTGTACATATTCGTGTTTTCGTCTGGCAAGTGACCACATCGACTTCCGGTCATTAGCTCACATGGTGAGCTATTGCAATCACTCACTTGTCCGTCTGTCTGTCCGTCTGTCAACAGTTGGCCAGTTTTAAAACCTCTGTCAACAGGATTCCCGTTTTAAGTTATTTTTGTTCAACATCAATATAGAAAACCCCCCTATGACTCCTGGTTCAAAGGTTCGCCTATTTTCAAAATGGCCGCCATTTTTGTCTCACGAAATTCACTTTTGGACCATTTGCTTTAAAACCTGTGTCGATAGGATTCTCGTTTTAAGTTATATTTGTTCAACATCAATACAGAAAACTCACTTTTGGCCAATTTCATAGCTTTACAAATAATTTCAGGTGTCCTGCATTGTAGAAATCTATGTCAATGTAAAGAGTAGTTGTATGAAATAATTTTATACAAAAAATCGGCAAAAAGTTATATCCGTTTTTTTTATTTTCAGCCATTTTAGTTAACATTGATTTGTCCATATGTCTCGAAATCCACTTTGGGACCATTTGCCTTAAAACCTCTGTCGATAGGACTCCCGTTTTAAGTGTCGATAGGACTCCCGTTTTAAGTGTTCAACATCAATACAGAAAACTCCCCTATGACTCCTGGTTCAAAAGCTTGTCTATTTTCAAAATGGTCGCCATTTTTGTCTTGCGAAATTCAATTGTGGCCCATTTCCTAGCTTTACAAATAATTTTAGGTGTCCTGCATTGTAAAAAGTCATGTCACTGTAAAGAGTAGTTGTATGAAATAATTTTGTTACAAAAAATCGGCAAAAATTTCATCCATTTTTTTTATTTTCTGCCATTTTAGCCATCATTGACTTTTGAGCAACACCATGTGAGCCCAGTACCCACGGTACTATTTTTTATTTTGTTTCTTAGCATAGGAGCTGTTATCGAGTTATAAAACGAACAAGTCATAATTGATATGACATCAGATACTGGTAGTTAGTGAGGTAGCACCGAAAAATGTACCCGCTTCTGAACAAATTGAAATTACTTGTTTCTTATGTATTTTTATGTGATACTTCAGAAAATTTTTGTCTGATGCGCCGTATCCGGGGCGAAAGTTGTCAAAATTGGGTTTTTGACCCTAAAAAGGAAAATTACAGGGGGTACATTATCATCATTGAATAATTCATTCAGTTGGTCTTCAATCATCATAATAATTTTATCGAGAGTTGATGAGATCATTTTAAGGTAGTATGCAAACTTTCAATGGTCTGTCACTCGTGGTTGCCATGGAAACCACAATTTTTGCTGAGAAAATCCTTAATTTTGGTAAAACCTGTACCTGTACATAATATAGAATGTGGATTATTTTTCAAATCAACAGATATCAGAACATTTTAGCATTTTCAAAATTACCAGGGCAGTTCAAACATTTATTTAAATATAAAAGATATTGCAATTAACATAACTGGGGAGTGTCAAAGACCATACAATTACATAAGTGGTCAAAAGTGGGCGTCGCCCTTATCATAGTAGATGATTGCCATTCTCTAAAAATACAGAGTTTTACTTGACTTTTGAGATACATTTATAATGATGTTCTTTGGTTATACTAAATATGAAGCATTTTTGGTAAATAATGTACATGTAAGTGTTATACTTATTGCATTGGGGAGGGGGTAGATGGGGGGGGGGGGGGTAACAGAATTGGAAGAGGGCAAAGCTAATCACCCTTAAGTATAGATCTCATCTACATAGTTCTGGATTTCATGGGGTACATCTTCTGGGTCTTCTTCACATTCATATAGGATATTATAATTCTGCATGATTGGTAAGTATAAAGACCATAGAATTACTCAAGTGATCAAAAGTGGGCGTCGCCCTTATCATAGATTAATTCTCTATAAATACAGAGTCTAAGTTGACTTTTGAGATACATTTACATTACAACTTCTTTGATTATACTTAATTTCAAGCATTTCTGGTTAGTAATGCACATCTAATTGTAATAGTTCTTGCCTGGGGGAGGATGGGGGAGAGTAGTAACAGAATAGGGAGGCAGAGGTAATAAGCCTTAAGTATAAATCTCATCTGCATAGTTCTGGATTTCATGGGGCACATCGTCTGGGTCTTCTTCATATTCATCTCAATATATGGGATATTACAATTTACAGGATTTGTCAAACACCATACAATTACATATTTATAAATGATCAAAAGGAGTGTCACCCTAACAATAGTAGATGATTGGTTCTTTGTATAAATACAAAATTGAACTTGACTTTTGAGATACATTCATAGTTATACTGAACTGCTGTTATTATAATTTATGTCAAGCATTTCTGGTAAATACATCTGTGTAAGTATTATAGTTTTTACATTTGGGCAGGGGTGAGTAGTAACAGAATTAGAAGGTGTAGATCTAATCTGCCTTAAGTATAAATCTCATCTTTTTAATTCTGGATTTCATAGGGTACATCTTCTGGAGTTTTCTGATTCATCTCCAGGTGTATCACCAATCTCTTGTATGAGAATATCAGTCAATACCCACTGGAAAGATATGGAGTCATTTAGTTTCCATTCAGGTCCATCTGGTGGTTCACTACGAGGATTTGAAATATGGGCCATACAGACAATAAGTGCTTTATATGGATGAGATGGTTACAACAATCTATTATCTAGAGATGAGATGAGTGTGACACCCATAATGACCTTGGAAAGGCACAAATAGCAAGTATAGAAAAAGACATAAAGATGACAAAAACCGCAATCAAAGACTTCCTTGATCCATTTACCATTGAGGATGAAGGTCATCTCTACGGTGTATCATAAGGAAAATCTGTGCCAAATGATGTCGCTGCAGATCTCATCTAATTTTAGTCAAAAGGGGAAATAGCATGAAGAGATACCATCTGAGATTAGTTGAAAAAAAGATTTCATGATCTAATAAAACATATGAAATTGAAAACTATAGCAGCAAACTACAGCAGCAACAGTGACAGTGACAGTAAAAAAGTACTCAGAACAAGCTTATACAAATACATTCTGAATGAAACATCTTTGAACAGCTTTAATCTTGCTTAAGAACATAAAATTAGCCTAGAATGTCTCCTGCAGTTCCTATTGAGCCCTGTGCCTTGGGCTCTCTAGGAACACTGACTGGACTTCTTGCAAGAACAGAGAAACGCATTCCTATGCATGAACATGTACCCACAAGTGCCAAAGGGAAAGGACCGAAATTTGTAATAGAACCCAGCAAGAAAAATAAAACTTCTAAATGTATACAAGTCATAAGGAAAACAAACCCCAACTATCCCAAACCATAATTCAACTTGAAAGGTAGTTTTGTTTCTGGATCTGGCGGAGACTGTTTCAAGATTCTACAATTGCAGATTGATTAGTTTTTGTATGTGATAATTACATCAAAAATTCTATAAAGGAACCTGAAAGAGGGGAGGGACACCTTGCCCTATTTAAGGTAGAAAAACACGAGTCCCTAAAGATTGGAATTAGTTCTTGTATGATGATGAAAACAAAAAGCAAATACAGCAAAGTGTGCTGCTGGATACTTGAGTTGGAAATAAATGAAGACTGATGTCGGTGGTATTTCCTCCAATATAGACCCTGACATATATGCAGCCTTCCTAGCACTTCATTCACACATTCACAGATGAAGTGCCATGCAGAAGGGGCAATAGCAATAGCACCTTTTTAAAAGGCAAAGGTGGAGCGCCATATAGATACACTCAACTGAATGACTCTCAAATCTGCAAGTGTAGTGGTATATTCTCCCACATGATATTGTTAATATATTAACATCGGGAGGTGAATGAAAATGATCAGACTATGATATTAATACTTAAGACTGACTGGCCATTGGCTCTGCCCCCTCCCATTTCTGCTACTACCCCCCTTGCCCCCCCCACAGGGAATAACTATTACAATACTAAATGTAATCAAAGAAGTTTTAATTTAAAAAATAAATCTTAAAGTCAAGTTAAACTCCATATTCATAGAGAATGAATTATCTACTAGTGTTAGAGCAACACCCACTTTTGATCACTTATGTAATTGTATGGTCTTTGACACTTACCAATCATGAAAATTGGAATATCCCATATATTGAGATGAATGTGAAGAAGACCCAGAAGATGCACCCCTTGAAATCCAGAACTAAATAAATGAGATTTACATTTAAGGCTTATTAGCTCCGCCCATTTCCAATTCTGTTACTCTTCCCCCCCTCCTCCACCCCCAGACAATAACTATTACAATTAGATGTACATATATAACTTACCAGAAATGCTTGACATTAAGTATAAATCAAAGATGTTTTTAAGTAAATGTACTTCAAAAGTCAAGTTAAACTCTGTATTTATAGAGAATGAACCATATACTATGATTAGGGCGACGCCCACTTTTGATCACATGTGTAATTCTATGGTCTTTGACACTTACCAACCATGTAAATTCTTATATCTTATATATTGAGATGAATATAATAAGACCCAGACGCTGTACCCTATGAAATCTAGAACCATGTAGATGAGATTTACACTTAAGGCTGATAAGCTCTGCCCCCTCCCAATTCTGTTACTACCCCCCCCTCCCCCCTCCCCCTGTATCCCCATGCAATAACTATAACACTTAGATGTAAAATGCTTGATATTAAGTATAACCAAAGAAATTCAATATAAATGTATCTCAAAAGTCAAGTAAAACTCTGTATTTATAGAGAATGGCAATCAACTACTATTATGAGGGCGACGCCCACTTTTGACCACTTATGTAATTGTATGGTCTTTGACACTTACCAGTCATATAAATTGCAATATTCTCTCTCTTTAAACAAATGTTTGGACAGGCCTGGTGATTTTATGAGTGCTAAAATGTTCTGATATCTGTTGATTTGAAAAATAATCCACATTCTATATTATGTACAGGTACAGGTTTTACCAAAATTAAGGATTTTCTCAGCAAAAATTGTGGTTTCCATGGCAACCACGAGTGACAGACCATTGAAAGTTTGCATACTAACTTAAAACGATCTCATCAACTCTCAATAAAATCATTATGATGATTGAAGACTAACTGAATGAATTATTCAACGATGTTAATGTACCCCCTGTAATTTTCCTTTTTAGGGTCAAAAACCCAATTTTGTCAACTTTCGCCCCGGATATGGCGCGTCAAACAAAATTTTTTTGAAGTATCACATAAAAATACATAAGAAACAAGTAATTTCAATTTGTTCAGAAGCGGGTACATTTTTCGGTGCTACCTCACTACCTATGGCTTCACGGCATTTTATTGCATTTGTACATGCTTACTACTTTTAAAACATCAGCAAAATCATATTTTTCTACAATTTGTTCGTCATTAATTAGTTGTAAGCCTACATATAGGTTGCATTTATCACTTAACCTTTTCTGATATTTTATGAGTTAAGTTTTATCAATTCAATCATTCTTGTTTCCTCTAAAGTCTTTTCACATATTTGATATACAATGACAATACACAACATCTGTGTAAAGTGTAAAGAGGCTTTATGGGCACCCTTTACCACATTTTGTTTATTTTTGTTTCCAGGTTATGGCCTGCCTACTGCTGTTCGACTTTGAGTTCTTCGTGTGGCACTACATTCATCACAAAGTTCGATTCCTCTACAAGGTTGTTCATAGCGTGCACCATCGTTTTTACAGTCCTTTCAGTTTGGTTACGCAGTACATGCATCCCTGGGAGCTCTTCTCCCTCGGGATTATCCAAACGACAGCTCCGATGGTATTCCAGTGCCACCCAATGACATCCTGGGGCTACATGACTGGCGCGATCATAGTTGGAGTCGATGCCCACGTGGGGTTCGATTTCCCCGGGCTACCGCATCGTTGGGCCCCGTTTGGATGGTGGGGTGGTGCCCCAAAACACGATATGCACCACCGGAGGCCAAATACGAACTTTCAACCTTTTTTCAATCATTGGGATAGACTCTTCGGATTCGATTGTCCCTCTGTTAAAGCAGGCAATGTTCGCCCAAAGGAGTTGCATGAATATGACTTAAGGAAGCGCATCTCGATAAGATCCAAGTGTAAAAGCAGCTAAAATTGATTTAGATGATGGTACAATCGAACATGTACATTAGGTTGTATGTTTTTCTTCCGAGATATGCATGCATGTGCTCTATTTTCATTTCAGAACAATTTGTCTGGATAAATATATATTTACAAGGTTGTCCAAAAATCTACACCTTTTATAACCAGCTCTGATAAACTTTAATCTGGTACTCGCATAGGCTTAGCCAGGGGGGGGGGGGGCTGCGATGGGTGCGATCCCTATAACTAATAAAAATAATCATGAGATAGAAGAGGAGCTTTAAAATGTTTTTTATTTGAAGCTTCTAGCCTTGAAGGAAGTTGCATCAATTTTTGTAAAACTCAAGATAAATCTTAATTTTTTGGATTGTTTATGCCACAATCGCACCCCCTGACGAAAAGCTGGCTACGCCCTTGACTCGTATTTCCAGTATTACAAAAACCGCTGTGAAATATATGTGTCCCACCAAATAATCCCGTTACTGGAAATTCGCATTCATACATGTTAAACTAGTGGATTTTTCAAGTTTGAAACAATTGTGTAATTGAATGCTTTAACACCACCAGAAATATCTTTAGGAGAAGACTTATTAAAAAAGAAAGCAAAATATAAAATGTGAATATTTTTGGCCCACTCTGTTGAATGATAATCAAAAGTCTAAAAATGTAAATCCCGAAATTCATTATCTAACTGATCAAAAGTAATTAATGGAACGTTCGAATAGACAACTGACCGATTACTCCGAATGGGAATTTTTTTATATCTGTAATTCAGTTCTGCTTGTTGTATAGGGCTAATTTCGATTAACTTATGGAATTTGTGAGCTTTGTTACATATGTTAGGGACCGATTAAAAGATGGCAGAAGGGTAGTATTAACCTCTTTATCAGGGTGCAGAGATGCTGATTGGTGAATACAATGCTTTTGAGACTATTCTCTTCTACATTTTACACGCTTTCTACTTTATTGCCACTTAAATGTATCTACGATATAAGTACCCTATTTAAAATATGGTATATCCAAAACAAAATATACAATCATTGTCATTATTTATCGCAAATACAATGCAAAGATACCAAATGTCTGATGAGGCGAGTATGCCATCTTTTTAATATAAAGCAAGTAAATAAATGCATATTATAATATGTCAAGCTTTGAATAAACTTATTTGCTGAATTTATCAATTGAAGTCACAATGTCCTGCCCACAATCACAATGTAATGGACATCAAAACTACTGAACTAATTAAGTTCCAAGATCAATGCAAGTTGGTCCCCATAATATATAAATGTTTGAAGATTACAAATTAATTCTGTCTTATTTAGGTGCATATGGGTCAAGATGAACCTTGAAACTAAAGTTTACAATAATAAACCATGAAAACGTTGACAATGAACCTCTAATCAAACGTTGACAATAGTGAACCATGCAACGAACTTTAATTCGACGATATAATGAACCCTAATTTATAAATGCTGACAATAATAAACCATAACAAACGTTGAAAATGATGGACCCTAAAACAAAACGTATCCTTGATACCTGAATGAAGCATGGAATATGCGAAGTGAACATGTTACATATTACAGTATTTAGGCATATAGTTCAAACGGATGAGAAGCGACTGCGCATGCTGAGAATAGAACGCCCATGATTTGTGAGAACAATGTTACATATTTTGATGGTAATTTTGATATCAGACTAATAATGGCCTAGTCACATAGCCCGGCCGATGAGGTTACGATGAGCCAGCGATGGAATTTTCACCGATCTCGGCCGAACACCGGCCGGACACCAGCCGGACATCCGTGGCGTTTGTTGCTTAAAACCGCATCGGTGGTAGCTCGGTGAAATTTTAACTTCGGAGTTAAATTTCACCGGGCTCTCACCGAGCTCCCTCATCATGTCATCGCAGCCCCATCGTAACCACATCGGCCGGGAGTATCGGCCGTTGTCCCGTGCATCTGAGTCAACCAGAGGACGAGGTTTTTTAACGGACAGCGGCCGAGCTCCGACCGAGCTCCGGCCGATGTGGGACAGAGCATCGGCCGGTCACTGTTCAAAGCCCGTTAACAACCCGGCCGGCGATCGCACGGTGTCCTGTTACCTGCTCGGGTACCGGCCGTATTCCTTCCGATGTCCGGCCGACCTCCGGCCGGTAGTTGCTGCCACATCGGCAGAAAAAAACTACCATTTTGAGACAGACTCCGTACGGTCACCGGCCGGTGTTCGATCGGTCGCCTGAAGATGTCCGGACGGAGTCCGTTCACGTCACCGAGCTCTGCTTCCGATGAGGAGAGCTCGGTGGCACCAAAAAAATCCACCGAGCTCTACCGATGCCGGACATCGGCCGGGCTATGTGACTAGGCCATAAGAATCTGCAGTGCCCTGAGCACAGAGGTTAGTTAAAAACAAAGTAAACAAATCTTTGAAAAAGTTATTTATCTGCAACGAATATGTCTATATTTTTGTCTGGAGGGACAAGATTAATGGCCAATTAAGATGTGCCCATGGGTTTTTTAGATGCCTATTTATTTATTAGGTTTACAGTCTTGACTGTAAGCTTACGTATTCTTTCGATGCATATATTTAAAGAAATGTGAACGGACTTCATAATTGTATCTTACAAAAACATCTCTGTGATGCAAATTGGAAATTTGTTTGTCATTTGTTTGATTTTTAGCGGAACACTCATTTATTTTTACATCACAAAATTCCATGTCATCAATGCTAACACATACAAAATCTCTGGAATAAACAATGCGGACGTCAATCTATTATCCGACAACAACTTGACATATGAAATGGAGGGAACAGCGTTTACGATATATGACGAAATTCGGAAGAACGCTCAAGAAGAAGCAAATGTGGGCGACGCGTTAAATAGAGCAAACAGGCAAATAACTGGAGATTACACGAATGAAATAGATACGATAAAAGAAAGAACTCATGACGATGACAACATAGCGCATGATGACACGCAGATTGCAAATGATAACACAATAAAAGAACCACGGGAAAGCGATACCACACGTTACAGACTCATGCTTGACGACTTTAGGGGACGGTTGGGCAACCACATGTTTCAGTATACCGCCGGTTTCGGCGTGGCTCATAGACATAACCTTACTTTCATTATTCCAGACAGTTTGGATCTCATCACCATATTTGATATCAAAGCAGAGGTATTTAATGATATACCTGGGTCTAATTTGCACTTCAGGAAATATTCAGGCGGAGATGACTTCTACAGGCAAACCGTGTTTAATAGCGACGCTGAAATCAAAACTTACGGCCAGTCGTACAAATATTTTGAGACTTGTCCGTTGCAAATAAGAAAAGAATTTACTTTTCGTAATCATATCAAACGCGAGGTAAATGTGCTTTTCGATCGCATATCACTAGGCCTCCCGTCCAATACGACATTTGTGGGAGTACATGCGAGACGAGGTGAAAAGGCAAATAAGACCAGGTCCTTAAAAGAAGGATGGGTTGTACCAGATGAAAACTACTTCAAGAAAGCCATGGATTATTTTAGGAATAAGTACGGGAATGTCGCTTTCATCATTTGCAGCGATACGCCCTCTTGGACAAAGGAAATCTTTAGATCTCAGGCAGATGCATATTTTTGTCCCGGCCGGTCACCAGCGTCAGACTTAGCTATTTTATCAAACTGTGACCATACAATAATGTCAGTTGGGACCTTTGGATTCTGGGCAGGATGGTTGGTCAATGGGACGACCATCTATTACGCACATCCGAAGAAAGATATTTACATTACCTCGAATTTCTTCAATGAAACAAAATCACCTATTAGGCATTTTTATCCAAAGGAATGGCTGCCCATGGGATGAAATCAAACACCATGATTTAGTTGTATTTTTCTATACCCTCATTGTTTGTCCGAGTCCCTGTACCCTAGACATAAATACTTTGGCTTTTGGATAATAAGGAGTTTCTAAATAGCTTTGAAATCTCTCTAATTCTCGTTTTTTCATGAGATTTTAAGAGATTTGCACTTTTTACCTCTAATAACTTACTTTTCTTTTTTTGATAGCATATTTAAATTAAGTTACATGTTTCCCCAATAATAACTACTTTGTTTTACACAGTTGTGTCATTTAAAAATCCATTGGTGCAATGCTAAAATTCATTAAAACGTTGGCTTATTTGTTTGAAAATCAATATTTTCATGGTTTCATTTACATCACAATATTTACATTGACAGGGTCATCCAACAGTATGTCATTCGAGTTCCAGACAGATTCAACCAACACTTTTTGATAAATCATGAAATTAAGTGACTATTGCAAGTTTTTAGCATTGAAGTGAATGGAAGTCTGGTCCAACAAGGATGACATCTATTATGTCAGCGATATTCAGCTATTTAGAAACTATACAATTTAAAGACCGTGGTTTTATCGACCAGAATGTGAATGTGCTTTTAGTTGAAGATATGAGATGTAATAAATGGAGACATGTGTAATTGTCTTTTGCTAAAGAATAATAATAATAATAATAATATATATATTTCAGTTTAGTCAATTTTTACAATAACATACAGTTTTGATGGAAAAATAATGAAAATGCAATGACACTTAAAATAAGTGTATTAAATTACACAATAGTTTTAATAAATGTTTATTGGAAATAGAAAAGGTACAAAAGAAAAAGAAAAAGGGAGTCATTTGAAGGGAGAGTTTGCAATTATGGGTTCAATGTGTCTAATCTCTATAACAATCGTCCATGTTAGTCAATGATGCAGTTTAACCCCTAGTTGGCCCATGTACCCCCTAGGATGTCACCCTGCACCACTAACCAACGTGTTGAACAACATTTTGAGTGGTTAAAATAAAAGAATATGTCACGATAAGACTTATGCGTCGGTGACAGTTTTGTAATAATCATTTAAGTGTGGGAACTGCAACACAGTCAGAATTATGTTGCAATATATTTGCGTGACACTTCGATTATTAAACACTATATTCCAAATCAAACTTGGGAAACATAGACTTTCTGATAGCATTTTAAATGCGATACAAACAATATTAATTGATTTTGATTTCGATATCCATTTATTAGCTTGATTTCGACGTTGGTAGTCGACAGTTTCGTAGCTAGATAGATTAAGTTGAAACTAACGGGATGATGGATTCAACCCTACGCGACACGATGTCGAATGATACGGAGAAACCAACACAATCCTATATCGCACTTATAGCAACAGCAATTCTTAGTAAAAACTCGCGAAAGATGTTGCTCTCCGAAATATATTCCTGGATTGTTGAAAGTTTCCCGTATTACAAGGGCCGTGATAGAAGTTGGCGCAACAGTGTTAGGCACAACCTCTCTCTAAATGAATGCTTTGTCAAGTCAGGCCGTGGTGACAATGGAAAGGGCAATTACTGGTCCATCCACCCTGCAAATATGGACGACTTTCTGCGTGGGGATTTCAGAAGGAGACGGGCGCGTAGAAGAGTACGTAAAGCTTCAACGGGTTCTTCCGCTCACGATAGTCTGGATGGAAAACGTGACAATAGCCAGCGATTCCCGTATGCAAGTGGTTATACCATCATGAAAACAGCCTCCGTTCCAGTTCAAGATTTAATACAAATGTTTGGTGTTCAGAACGTGCTGTCTGCTGAAGAACGACAGATGGTGTTCTTTAAACGTATTATTGAAGGAATAAACACTATACCGCAAAGCAACCCATATGAGGTTGGACTGGAGTATCCGGGAATAGATGCGAATAATAATACAGAACACTCAAGACAACCTTATCCTCCACAGAAACATGAACTCTGTGTTACTGTACCTACACATACAGAATTTGTTATGAATGACGTCAACCATGATGCCGCACCACTCTGTGAAGAAATGTATTCAAAGGATGATGAGATCGAAAGATGGCATGATACATTACCTGAGATAAAACTTGACGATGACTTTATTATGTATTAACTTCATACAGGCGTAATTAATAACCACATAATTTGCCTCTTGTTTCTTTCAGCTCTTGTCGGTTGTTATTTTGAAATCATGGAACAGTAGAAAAACAATGTTATATTATTGACTTTCAATCTTACAAAATGCTGGTTTGCGGTGAACACGTTATGTTTATATACTTTTTATTAGACCTTGTTCCAATTCAAATGTGATTCCATTGTACCTGTATTAACATATTAATACCCCCACCCCCATCAGTTTGGCAACCGGAAATGCCCACTTGAGAGCGTGATCCTAATTTTGTTCCTCAATTGGTCGAAAATGACTTTGATGATTTTTTATAACAAAAAACAGGTTTTAGCACGCTGTTCAAACCGGTACGTCCGGTTACCAGCTTTTGGAGGGGAGTGTATATGGGTACGTCACTGGCGGATCTGGGTGACGGGGGTGGGCCCAGAAAGAAATTGGACCCAAAAAATGTTTGGGCCCAAAAATATAAGGCCCCAATTAATGGGCCTTTTTGGACATAAGTGGGTCTTTAAGGCCTTATCTTTTAATTTTAGATCAAATTATCAAAAAATATGCCCCTCCCCACTGTTGGATTCCAGATCCGCCCCAGTAAGTAGGCTTCCTAAGCTAGTATTCGCGAATGCAAATAGTGGCTACCGGCTACCGGATTAACCTACTTTTTTATGATTAACTCATTTAAATATGAATGGAATAGTACTAGTGGCAGCTACTATACATATTTAAATGAGTTGCCAATAAAACAGTTAATCCGGGAGCCGACAGGCGTATAATTGCATTCGCGAATAAAAGGCAAGTTATTATTTGAATAATACCAAAGGTTTACGTCAAGCCAAATTTGTGCGTCATTTTTAATTTGATTCCTCAAGCTAAGTACACAGTTTTTTACGAGATAACATACAATATAAATGTACGACCAATGCTTGCGTATTGCATACAAATGCTGCGTCGCTTTATATAAATGCAACAGATGCTGCTAATGCCCCCAACAACATATACATCCAACACGGGAGGTTAATAGCTCCCATACTGCATTTGAGACTGTATTCCTCATCAGCAGTATAAGAAACCCAAGTTCCACAATCACAGTTGTAACGCGATACCTCCTTTGTTATATCGTCGCACTGGGAACGCGCCTCCTTCATAAAATAATGCGCGCCACCTTCTGGGTAAGCCAGGTCATCGCGGGGCGTCCAGAACCCCAGCTGTAATCCAGTATATGCCTCAGGACCCTGGCAATACCCTCCATCTATCTTTATCGCGTTAAACCTCGTAATATTATACAAATTACAGTCACAGAAGAATGGGTTGGGGTCATACGGAGTGATCTCAGCGTCCAAGCGAATTTCAAGATTTCTAAAATCGCAGGGCGGGTTAAGAAAATTCAAGTTCTTCAGTTTATTTCCAGCCAAAAATAATGTAACTTGAGCGAAGTTTTCATTGGTTAGACGGCGTATGAAATCATTGGATATATCTGATATCTGATTCCCCGTAAGATCAATTGCTAAATTTATTGTAGAGTAACCATCGATTTGAGTGTCGTCTTCAGGACCCAATGATGTGATCTTGTTGTACGATAGATCTATGACAGTGATGTAGTTCAGATCAGAGAGTTTGCTGATGATACTCCCGATGCTTGTGATTCCCAGCTTCTGCAGGCTCAACTGGGTCAGCTTGTACTCCATCCCCGAGAATGTCTCCTCAGTCAATATCAACCCCGGGTTGTTACTTAAATTGATCCTCTTCAATGAAGCGAACCTTCTGAAGAACCCATCGGTGATTGATCGTATGTTATTATCTCTCAAGTCAAGCTCCTCCATGTTTGGGAGGTTGTATTCTGGGAGCGTTAGTTCTGGCGGCATCTCTTTTAGATCACATCCTCGAAGGCTTATTCTGCTTAATGTTTCATAGTGGCTGTAGTTAGCTTTGATCTCATCCATGCAAACAGAGTGACTTCCTCTCACTATGACTAACACTACCAATATTTCGTAGAGCATCATAAATGTTTCTAAAATAAAAAATGTCCAAAATTAAACGTCGTTTTTGGTAAACAAGGGATCTGCAGTGTAAAAGATGGGTAGTTCCGGCGAAAAACTTTCATGATTTAAAAAGACTTTTTGAGATGCACCATGAAAAATGATGCTAAAAATAGTTTAGTTGTTTGTTCCAAAAATATCTAAATTTTAACACTGCAGATTAAAATCACAATGCTTTTAGTCCGAACGACCTTCTTGCTACTCCACAAACCTAAATTATAATCTCGTGACAAAAGCTTCTCACTGAAGTCTCGAAATATAGTTCCTTTTATGTCAAATATAAGATGGATCAAAAGTTCAGAAGAAGAGACTGACAAGAGTATTGAATATTAAGTAAGAATACTAGTGATGTACACCTATCATTGGTGATGGGATGGCCAGGTTTAAAAAGTTTCACCAGAAGTGCAAAGATTTACGCCCTACCTTTCTTTACATTATATCATATTCATCGGCGGATTTAAATACCAAAAATACGTTTCAAAATTAATTCTATCATTCAATATTACTCGTTATCATCCATAGAAATTGGTAAAAATAACTTACCTCCTTCGGAATTGTCCGTTTGCCTATTGAATAGCTAGATGCCTAGAAATCTTGAATCATCATTTAAACTTTTATAATTTTGAATTATAGCAATTTGACCACATCAGTCATCCCTAAATTTATCACGAAGGGATTTATCTTTTAAGTATCTTTAAATAAAGTAACCGTCACCCAACTAGTTTCTGAAAGTTTACCAACGATTATTTATAGATCCGTATTGAAATTTTGATGTGTGCGACCAATTAATTAGGCGTCAGTGTATACCTGTACATGCACAATATGCATTTCATTATTTATATTTTTTCAAAACAACAAACATCATCTATCCCTTGGTGTTTGTATGCAAGTTACATGAAGCTGGTGTCATTTTTATTCTTTGACATTTATTTTGCGAAGGCTGTAGATAATAAAATGATATGTGTATGTGTCACTGTTAGTTCACAAGGCTGTGGCGTTTTTCGTCCAGCGTAAACCTCTAATTTCCGGAACCTGAAATGTTTTATTTGTCGTTTACATGAACAAAGTCTTATCCAATCCAACATAGATTGCGGGGAATATAACAGAGAACAAGGAAATACATATTTCATTCCATCTTACGTGAACAGTGAATACCCTTTCACGATTTTAATGATACTACAAGATAAAGTCTTGGTGTAGCAATGAATTCACCTCAAAGAAATAATTCTTGTATAGCAGTTAACAAATCAAATATTTTCTTTCACCAGGCAAATCATCAACGAGGTTAAGTCAAGAAGATCACTTCAAATAATGCACTTTAGTAAACTGATGTCAACTAAGACTGTGATAAAACAACCCCAACAAAAATGAATTGCAACTCTTCCGAAGCCCTGTTGATTTAACATCAGGTGTGTCGTTTGAACCGATTGAGTTACTCCCTTGGTTATCTGTTCCACTACTTGGGAAATAACTTTAGCATACACATCACATAGTTGGAACATCTCCATACGCAGACATCCCACGGTTAGAAAGCATCACGTAAAGCACCTTTAATTTACAACATAATGTTGAGTCCCACGTCCTATCAACTCTCCAGTGTTACAGCCCTAACATTCTGGTCTATATAACCCGTGGGCTTAGTTTCAAATTTCTTGATCGTAATGGGACTGTGGCCTTACTCTCTATTGAAGTTTTCCATTTTCTTTCCTCAACCAGTGCGTGTTTCGGAAAGTTTAGTCAACGCCTCGATGAACATTGTAGCGTTGTAAGGATGCTGTATAATAGTAATGTTACGGATCGTGCAAGGGTCCTCTGTAAGATATGGACCGACCCAGGCCTCTAGAAGATAAGCGACGGCGCTCCCACCAGTGAGACCAACGCTGTATGAGAGAGTCATGATATTACCTAAAATAAAACCACACGTTCAATAGACATAAATCAAGAGCAAGACAAAACATTGTCCAATTACACACTGACATTTCAGTTACAGATTCTTGTACGATCCATTGCAACAATGTTGAACTCCTATATATATTTAACTCTTTACATTCAGATCTACATCTGCTTCTCCAAATAGAGTTTATCCGCGATATGACCATAATTCACGTATAATTTTGTGGATTTGCGATTTATAAAGGCTGCAACCATTCAGATTAAGATATCTGCTTTCCCTTCACGTTTGATTTCGTGTGAACTCCGATCAGCATTTTCTATGTTAAACTTACCACTTAATTCCTTCTGTTCATCCGAGACCTTAGTAGAGGCAAGGATCATTGGTACACTACCGAAATAACCATTTGAGAGTCCCAATAGGAGCGACAAGAATATTGGCCAGAACTCTGCCTCCAGCACTGGGCTGTTCCTAGGGGTTGCACATAGCATCATCAATGGAATGAGGGCAACCCGACACAGCGAACACAAAACCAAGCGACCACGTGGCCAATCATAAGGCAGCGCGGCAATAATCTAAACAATGACAGAAAATAATTTGAAAAGGTATTTGAAACATGACATCATTCTATGTTCTAACTTAATTTTGGGAAAGTTGATTTAAAGTTTTATATAAAGTTATCTAAAGTATTTGGAAAAGTTGAATCCTTTACCAGTTAACATTGAATTATGAAGCATTGTTATGTTTTTTTGAAAAATTAAAGATAGCTTCCAACACATTTTACATTTGCCACTCTAATATATCAAATGTATATTCAATGTATTCCCATAAACAGGGTGATATATATGGTAGTTACCGAAATACCAATATATTGATGCTGACAGTAATCTGTTTTGTACATTACAGCACTAAACAATAGAATGCATTCTGATAATCATCATATCTTTCTGTCTTCAACTAGAAATATGATACTACTTTTAAATGTTTTTCAATGAATAAAAAAAAAAAAAAAAAAAAAAAAAAGATACTAGACTAGAGTGACGCTAACAGAAGGCCATGATTTCTCATGATGAATTGAATGTAAAACAACAACGCACCAGAGATCAACCATCAATAATTGTGCTTTTACATGTTTGCCTAATTGCTCACACCATGTAAATATCATTACTAAGCCCAGATTATATGCAATTAGTAAACATAGAGGCAAAAGATAATCGAATGAACTAATATAGAACAGTGTACTTACTTTACCAATAAAATCAAAGAGATTGAAAACGGAGATGAGGATGACGGGCATCCAGCTTCCGAGATGACAGCTTACCACTTCAGATTCGATACCAGGGAATAAGGAAAGAGTTACGAAGTAAGCGAGACAGATTGCCACCATGTAAGGCCATACTTGTTTTGATACCTTGTATCTGTTCATAATACCCCCTAAAATGAAACACATTTATGCAATCTGTTAAATAAGTGTATTCGTTCTGTCATGAAAAACCTGGATGAATCAAGATGTGTTTTATCTCGTTGTACAGTTTAGTCAACAGTTTACTTAACATTCTGTACAGGTATATCATTTGAATAGTTTATTGTTAATTCTGCATTCTGAATACTCATCCCATCATTCCCTTTCAGGAGCAATCGTCTTGGAATTTAGATTATCTGCTCTTCACAAGGTTTCCAAAGATCAAAGTTTTCAAATGTGATGCTGATTGATTTCTTGCTATACTTTTCTGGTGTAAGGTGCAGCGTCTTGAATATACATAGGCCTATCGTTAAAACAACGTTTGAAAATCATCTAATGCAATAACAATTGATCTTTCTCAAGGGATCTTTATTCAAACTAACTTTTTAAGCCTATGCAGCATGGTAGTTGTCTTCTGTATGTCTGACCACTGCCCCTCTTTATCTGGACATCACTTTCTTGACCTTGAGCATCTGGGTCTGCAATCACTTCATGTGTGGCCGAGTCAGGGGATTCCACTTGGTTGTTAAACGCAAGGACACCATAATTGTCACGGTTTGCATTCGGGTTAACTATATCAACCTGGATTAGCACATCATTATTTAGTTTTTACCATTTTGCCAAAACATGTGAACAAGATCAAGGTGAATTCTAACACGTTTTTCATGAACTTTCTCAGTGGTACTATTTCTCAGTTGAAAAAGGGTATATTCATATTTTAACTATGAAACACATTGGGGCAGTTAACTAATTATCACATGCCAATAATCTACCATTTCTTACTAAGCTTACTTCTTCAGGATTCGACACTTCCGTTGTTATCCCCCGTTGGTCATCCGCCACACCAGCATTTTTACACATAGTCACGTGAAATCTCACGAACTCTGACCTTTTAGTCACGTGAAATATGACGAAACAAGATAACACTATAGCGATGGAAAGGGCGAAAAATATAAGTGTGTTTATGCGCTCGTTGTTGAGTAATGCTTTTGTTGCTATGCGATTCATCGAAACTAATAAGCCAGCTGCACCTGAAATAGAAATAAATGTCTCGATGAGCTATAGTCACTGGTACTCACCTAGTTACGCTGACGATACGTCAGCGTAACAAGATGGAAGAACTTCCGGGCTTCGTTTTCTATAAGGTGTCACTCCTGTAAATAGCACTTCCGGGTAGGACAGTGTTTTTTAATACTTTAAAAACGAAGCCATGACACCTTCAATGGTGTGTATAGTAGGTTTAAGTGTATGCAATGTGGCCATTTGAGGTATGTGTGTAAAGCTGAGGCCAAGTACTTTCTAAATGTGCCATTTTAAGAAAAAAATCGCAAGAATATAGTCCCGTAAACTGGAACTACTTTACTCGTTAATTTTCATCGGTGAAGTAGGGATTTTACCTCAAAATGAGTCCCTATGTTGGCGTAGTGATATTTAAAAATCGAGACGCAAACCCTATGTTAAATATAGTGTCAAGATGAAGGTTATGTATAGGGGAACTCAGAAATATAGTCATTGTATGGGCTAGTTCGTTCGAAAATGGCGATATGTACCCCAGAACTTGAATTTTGTGATTTTTTCAATATTTTTCAATGATTTACCGTAGTGACACCATAAGATATTTTTATCTCTCGATTCTACATCACTTATGAGTCAAGTTGTGGGAGTGGCAATATTCACGAAGATGGTCAACGTAACAAAAGCGAGGGACTAAATATGCAAATTGCGTCTTCGTTAATATACCAAACATAGAACCGCCTGCATATTCTCGAACTAGACTATCTTCCTTAACTTTGAGCCAAATTATTGTCAAAAAGGAAGTGTAGAACATTTAATATTTGGTTATATTTATGATGACTTACTTTCGCCCGTCATAACAGCCTGTGTGTATCGCCTTGGAAGCATTCCTGTGTAACCATAGAAACTGGATTGCTGAACTGGAAATTAAGTACCCGGTATTATTATGTCACTATTATTCAGTTGAATTGCTATTTAAATTTATGATTAGTCAAATGATCAAATACAGTTCACATGACAGTTGGGCGAAATTAACCCCCGGGGTATTTAACCCTACCGTGATCATGCGCATAAAGCATGTGAAATTCCTGGGAGTAATGAATTGCTTTGGATATCTTTCGCTCCCGGAAATTGATATTCCTCCATCACACAATCCATTTTATCATTTCATTCTTCTGAGGTGAATACCGAGGGACTTGTACAATATTTAAGGAATAAAGACCGAGAATAGCCAGAATAAAATATGAGGTCATATATTTGACATAAATCTTAAAATCGAAGTCTTTGTTACGATTCTAATATGATAAACAGACAGGAAACACAACTATGTGCATTTATGAATTTTAGCGGTCATACATATTTCCATAATTATGAGAGTAAAAATTATAATGTTGTCTTCTTTATTCTTTGATTCTCCTACTATTTAGCCTTTAACTAAAATAGCTTCATTCTGTGCATTGAAATAAAGGTATTAGCCATACATCAAATTGCATTTGCATCACTGATTTTCTGACAAATCTAACTCATTTTCAAGTCGGGGGTAGTGTAGCGGCATATTGCAAATATAAGGTTTATAACGAGTACGTTTATCCCGCATGGTATTATTCTAAGTTGCACATTAGACAAGGCCCTAATCCCAACCTATTTCATTATCCTATATTATTGGGCAAAACAGAGTAACAAGGAATGATGAGAAAGCCTATGCTACAGCGTAATACACGGGGTATAAACGCAATTAACATTGTAAACTGTAAATGCGACCTATGATAAAAACAATCCTTCAAACACGTTTTTACGAAAATAAATGAAGTGGAATTGTTATTCTGTCACCTCCCTTACATGATGATACACGTTGTATTAGTTTGCTACCAGGCACTGATTACTCTGTGCAACATTTTCTCTCAAATCAGGCAATTTCACCTTAACGCAATGTTATTTACAACAGAGCAAATTGGAAAGAGCTGTGAAATTAGATCAGATGATGGCACGTCCCCATCTCGACCTGTTATCTTGTCACATAGTTAGAATAAATGGCTTCCTTCAATATTTTAAGGATCAGCTTAATTAAACAACAGCATGCCGCTATAAATATACCATGACAACGCCATCAAATGAACTTTTGTTAATCAGGCTTATATGTTATTTTGACTTTTTAGCAAAACTATGATGTCTTGTCATTATTTCAAAATTGAAAAATATGTCATTGATCTGCATCCACACCTATTCCATCGGCAGAGCTGTCAAAATATTTATTATTACCACTTGATACTCAGAGGATTGTAACGTATATGTAGTCAGAGAAGGGTTGTGACGTTTACGTGCTCAGAGGAGGATGTGTAACATACACGTAGTCAGAGGAGGATGTGAACGTATACGTTCTCAGAGGAGGGTGTGAAACGTATACGTACTCAGATGACGATGTGTAACGTATACGTACACATAGGAGGATGCGTAACGCACACGTGCTCAGAGGGAGGATATGTAACGTACACGTACTCAGATGACGGTGTGTAACGTATACGTACACAGATGACGATGTGTAACGTATACGTACTCAGAGGAGGATGTGTGACGTTCAGGTAGTCAGAGGAGGATGTGAAACGTATATGTACTCAGATGACAATGTGCAATGTATACGCACACAGAGTAGGATGCGTAACGTATACGTACACAGAGGAGGATGCGTAACGTACACGTACTCAGATGACGATGTGTAACGTACACGTACTCAGAGGAGGATGTGTGACGTATACATTCTCAAAGGAGGATGCGTAAATTACATGTACTCAGAGGAGGATATGTATTGTAGATGCGTAACGTATACGTACTCAGATGACGATGTGTAACGTACACATGCCCAGAGGAGGATGTGTGACGTATAAGAATTCAGAAGAGGATGTGTGACGTATACGTACTCAGAGGAGTATGTTTGATGTATACGTACTCAGAGGAGGATGCGTAAATTATACGTTCACAGAGCAACTGAAACCTTGTGAATCAAGATGACTTTAACCGCTGAACGCCATTTTTCTACGGAAGTTCTGAGCATGGACTTTCTCTTCATACACGCAATTACGAATTAAAATCTACTTTGCACTCTCCATTCTTCACAAATACATCATTTCCTCAATAAAAAGATATTTCCGTGTGTCTCCGTCAATAATGATCGAAATGTTTCCAATTCATCAGTACCAGCGCTATTCGAGAATTGTTCAGTTTCGAAAAATGCTATGAGAAACTGTTCATTCCAGAGTGATTTTGAGGACACCTCATTTACAACTGGGAGAATTTTACCTAATAGCTGTATGAATTTGTTTAAATAAAATTTTAGCTGTCAAACGCATCTATCAATGAGCAATATTTTACAGCAATGCTAGCAAAATATTTGAAATATGTTAACATTTTTTTCTTTTCTAAGAGATACCAAGAATTTTTAGCGAATAGGATAGTTTCTAAATAGCAGAAAAATCAATGAAATCTCGTGCTGCCATCTTTTATTTAGCTTTCAACTCGGGCTAGAGCTCCATTCACTTACATGCTAAAATCTTGGAAAAGTGGCTTAATTTCATGATTTATCAAAGTGTGTTTGTTGAATCTGTATTAAACTTGAATGATATACCACATGATGACCCTGTTTATGTACATGTTGTGATTAAACATGCAAATGTTGATTGACATACAAATAATCCACGGTTTTAAAGAATTTTAGCATTCCATCTATGGACATTTGGCCCAAGTTTTTTTAAATTGTCATAGAAAATTATTCAAATTACATAACTGTGTAAATCAAAGCTATTTTAGGAGAAAACAATTCACTGAATTCAAATATACCATTTAAAAGAAGATAATGTAAGTCATTAGAGGTCTAATATGCAAGTCTCTTAAAATCTCACGAAAAACGAGATTTAGCGAGATTTCAAAAGCTATATGGAAACTATACTATTTAGAATTATTTATCAAGAATTGAAAAAATATATAAAATTTAATTTATCCATAAATAAAACTTTACCTATCCCTTTCCGGGAGTATAGAACACAAAGAGATTTCGCAACGCACTTTTAGTGTAATTATTTTCTCATTATTGCTATAAAACGTGTGTATTACGTCATCATTTGTCGCGCAGCTTATGTTTATAAGTGGGTAAATCCTTATCTCGTTTAGACATAGTTATTGGAAGGAAATCATGGTGATACTTTAAACTGAACATTTTCGGATAAAAGAACATGAAAATTGATCAAGTAAGTCCTCTTCTGGGAATCGCAAATTTTCTAATCACTTCTACTTATAACGCATTTAGCATAATACAACTTATGTATAAATGCATATTAGTAAATGATCAATGGAAAACGCAACGCAAAAATGAGATTCATGTCAGTATACGTATAGTGTTTTTAAACGATCTGACAAAACTTTGGCAGCTCAATACAAATGATGGATAGTGAAGATTAAGACAAACAAATGATATTTTCCGAAAAAGTCTCGAATGATGTTTTGGGGATGGTTCAACAATATTCTACATGAAACCTTGGATGTTCATTTTACCCGGGGATTCTATCATCTAACAGTATCAGATATGATCTATAGAACCAAGACGAAGACGATGAAATCAAATGAGTGGATATAATGTCTCAAAATCAAATTGCCTTCATATCTGAAAAACTCTCGAACTTATTGATTTTCCATCACGTAATTTGAGATTCTACAGAAGTAAACGGATATTCAATGGCCTCTAACATTGTTTGCATTGATTTGATGTTAAAGATGACTTTTTACATAGACGGCAATTATTGGTAAATAATTCCCGCATTGCTTAGCGAAATACTTTGTTAGGTTTTATCGATGTTTTCTATTGAGGGGAATTCGGATGTCTTTGATTAAGAATTGCATATAGACAGAAGTAATACGTTTTCTAGCTGCACCATGCATATGTGTAATAATATTCAATAGGTAATTTACAATCGGCAATATCATATTACTTATATTACTTACTCATATGTAGATATCATATGCCAGTTTCGTAAAGAATCGGAGACCGTTAGGGGGATATATAAAACCTTCCCAGATCTCTAATTAGGGTCCAAATGGGAACTAGAGGCACATTCATACCGTTCTCCTTAAAGTTTTAACGAAAATTTACCTGTACATCCCAAGGCAACAACTCCAACAGATACCAACGTAACAGTATGTGTTATTTCTTTAGGAAATAGTTCCAGACCTATTAAACACGTCGCCACAAATAACAAAGTCACAAATGACAGTATATAACCGAACGTAATTCTTATCTGCAGACTAAAAGTCTCCACGAGAAGATTGTTGATGCAAACACTAATGAAGGCCATGCAAATATACGTTATGCTGATGTCAAATATAATCGTACTATCCGGAAAATGTCCATGATAGTAGTCAACTGCCGTAATGAAACTGTTATATGGGAGGAGAAACCCTGCTCCAGCGAGGACTAAACTAAGATATACGAGATTATGTTTATCCCTGGGTGTTGTAATATGTCCGTTGGGAATAGATGTCCTATCTTCGTTGTCCTCAGAAAGTTGGCAATAGCCTCTCGATAAATTCTCGTCCATGTTGTATTGTATGTGTTAGTACCCTCCTCTCTCTAATGGCAATGTTTAGATATGACTCAGCTACATGAATTATCGTTATTAATGTCTTTCCTTCCAATGCATTGCTAGGAATATGCGAATAGTCTATTCCTCTCTTAGCAAGCCGCCCTTTGATTTTGAAGTCCGTAGTTTGAGCTAGTATGGGATAGACGATAGCTACTCCCTCTACACTATAATATGTTCATATCACTAATAAGCTATTCTTCATGGATCTATGCGGACTTGATTGCAGTAAATGTTATT